AGTGCAATAATGTCTTGGATACATATCGTTAGTCGGTCGTGTCCAAGGACAGAACGCTCGATACGCATCCAACGCTATGCGATCGTTACGATCGGACGACCGACTATGAATGAGCTCATGCACCAACTGAAGTCCTCGTGGAGAAAATTCTCTGACTCCATCAATTCATAACATAAAAATAGGCATATAATAGGGTGAGGATAGCAATGTTACCTCAACTACAATCCGATCGAGGTCTGCATCCATTGTGGTCACCTTCGCGTGGATAACTTTCCCCGCCCCTCGATTAAAAAACGGGAAAAGTCCCATTTTCTATTATGCGCTCGATCGTTTACATAGATGATATCATCACTCTGAAAAACGAAAAATCTAACTAGAGCAAAGAACACTGAGATAAATTCAACAAAAACGTTTAGGAATGTGAGTGAGAGTGAAAAGAAACAAAAGCGAATGGAGATGAGATCGGTTAGAAGGACTGCCGAGATGAATCGGCTGCCATCAACCGTGGGATATTAACAAAACATCGTGAAGTACTGGTATCATGACATTAAACAAGTGCTTTGGGATTATTGTAGTGCAACCAAAATAAGCCTGTGCTCAAAGTATTATTATGATAGCATCCAGTTCTGATGTTGCTTTGCAGTAGTGCATGTTTTGCTTTCCATACCCTAATATGTAAAGACTGGGTGAGTTCAAGATATCTATAAAAATAATGAAATAGAATTGCATTTATGATGCTGGATTTGGTGTCTCCGGTGACCCTGATAGCGTCTAATTACACACGTATTTTGTAATATCTTAAGGGGTGTGGTTCACTAGAACAGGAAGCGACTTCTTCGCGTTTCGCAGCGCGAAACATTTCCCGCTGCGGGGACCATCATCAGTGGACCTGAGGTTCCCGCAACGAATCATCAGTGGACCCGATATTCCCGCAGTGAACATTGTTTCGCGAAGAAGTCGCTTTCTGTCCTAGTGAACCACACCCTATCTTTTAGGCCGATGTCAGACTTTGCGAATCGCGCGATTCGCTAGCGTCTGCGGTCGCGTCGCGGCCAGTGAATCACTCAATTGGCTGGTACCGCAACGCGACCGCGGACGCTAGCGAATCGCGCGAATCGCTAGTAGCGAATCGCGCGATTCGCAAAGTCTGACATCGGCCTTAAGTGGCCAAAACTTAAAAGTTTTGCAGAAATTGGGTCACACTTCCGATCCCCTACTAATCTGTTATTCGGGTGATTAACAATAACTGCAACATCGCTTAAACCCCTACCTCCAGGGCCGTGAGGTATGCTTCCCCGAATGGTT